CAAAAGGTGGCAAAGAGGAACCTAATGAAGACGACGAATCTCCCAGTCATCCAAAGAAAAAACACCCCACGGAAATAAGCATAAGCATGGTGGACATCCGGTAAACACGGAGAAGACACTGATAAAGAGAAGCCAGGAAAAGGAAAACCACCGAGGCCAAACACGGTGCAGAAAAAGGTAGCAATGGTAAAAAACCAAATTCACATGGAAAGCAAGGTCACCCTCACGGAGGAGAAGACAATAACTCCAGTGAACAGCCGAACAAACACCCCGGTCACAGACGCCGTCCGCATCACCGAGGCCAGCAAGAAGGATCTGAAACGACTCCAAAAGGAAAACAACCAAATGAGGAAGATGACTCCGCCGAAGGAAGGAATAAAAAGCCATCTGAAGTAGGCAAAGGAAGCAACAAAAAGCCTGAAGAAGACAAAGGGAGGAATCGAGATGATGACGAAAATGATGAGACTGGAAATAAAAAAGAGAAGGGAAGAAAGGGTGGGAAAGGAAGACATCCGGTAAAGAAAGGCAAAGGAAAGAAGCCTAACGAAGATAGGAGCTACGAGAAATCAGAAAACAGTGAAGAAAGCGATTCCAGTGAATACGGACATGACAGTTCTGGCTACAGAAGGCGTCATCATAAAGGTAGCAAATATTCGAAACACGGATCAAAAGGTGGCGAAGACGAGCCTAATGAAGACGACGAATCTCCCAGTCACCCAAAGAAACAACACCCTCATGGAAATAAGCATAAACACGGTGGACAAACCGGTAAGCCCGAAGAGGATACTGATGAAGAAATGCGAGGAAAAGGACACGGAGGAAAACACGGTTCAAAAGGTGGCAAAGAGGAGCCTAATGAAGACGACGAATCTCCCAGTCATCCAAAGAAAAAACACCCTCACGGAAATAAGCATAAACACAGTGGACAATCCGGAAAGCCCGGAGAGGATACTGATGAAGAAAAGCCAGGAAAAGGAAAAGCACACGGAAGCAAACACGGTCCAGAAAACGGTAGCAATGGTAAAAAAACAAACTCACATGGAAAGCCTGGTCGCCGTCACGGAGGAGAAGACAATGAATCCACTGAAAAGACCAAAAAACACCCCGGTCAAAGACGCCATACGCATCACCGAGGCCAGCCAGAGGGATCTGAAGAGACACCAAAAGGAAAACAACCAAATGAAGAAGATGAACTCCGCCGAAGGAAGGAATAAAAAGGACATCTGAAGTAGGCAAAGGAAAATCAGAAAACAGTGAAGAAACGATTCCAGTGAATACGGAAATGACAGTTCCGGCTACAGAAGGCGTCATCATAAAGGAAGCAAATATTCGAAACACGGATCAAAAGGTGGCCAAGACGAGCCTAATAAAGATGACGAATCTCCGGGTCATCCAAAAAAACAACACCCTCACGGAAATAAGCATAAACACGGTGCACAAACCGGTAAGCCCGAAGAGGATACTGATGAAGAAAAGCGAGGAAAAGGACACGGAAGCAAACACGGTCCAGAAAACGGTAGCAATGGTAAAAAACCAAATTCACATGGAAATCCTGATCACCATCACGGAGGAGAAGACAATGACTCCACTGAACAGACCAACAAACACCCAGGTCAAAGACGCCATCCGCATAACCGAGGCCATCCAGAGGGATCTGAAAAGACTCCAAAAGGAAAACAACCAAATGAGGAAGATGAATCCGCCAGAGGAAGAAATAAAAAGCCGTCTGAAGAGGGCAAAGGAAGCAACAAAAAGCCTAAAGAACACACGGGGAGGAATCGAGGGGATGACGAAAATGAGAGACTGGAAATAAAAAAAGAGAAGGGAGGGGGGAATGGGGGGGGGGGGGGGGGGGGGGGGGGGGGGGGGGGGGGGGGGGGGGGGGGGGAAAGGGTGGGAAAGGAAGACATCCCGTAAAGAAAAGGCAAAGGAAAGAAGCCTAAGGAGCATAATAGCGTCAGTGAAAAAGAAACCAGTGAAGAAAGCGATTCCAGTGAATATGGAAACCAAAGTTCCGGCCATAGAAGGCGTCATCACAAAGGTAGTCGATATTCGAAACACCAAACAAAAGGTGGCGAGGACGAGAACGAGCCTAATGAAGACGACGAATCTCCCAGTCATCCAAAGAAACAACACCCTCATGGAAATAAGCATAAACACGGTGGACAAACCGGTAAGCCCGAAGAGGATACTGATGAAGAAATGCGAGGAAAAGGACACGGAGGAAAACACGGTTCAAAAGGTGGCAAAGAGGAGCCTAATGAAGACGACGAATCTCCCAGTCATCCAAAGAAAAAACACCCTCACGGAAATAAGCATAAACACGGTGGACAATCCGGTAAACACGGAGAAGACACTGATAAAGAAAAGCCAGGAAAAGGAAAACCACACCGAGGCAAACACGGTGCAGAAAAAGGTAGCAATGGTAAAAAACCAAATTCACATGGAAAGCAAGGTCACCCTCACGGAGGAGAAGACAATAACTCCAGTGAACAGCCGAACAAACACCCCGGTCACACACGCCGTCCGCATCACCGAGGTCAGCCAAAAGGATCTGAAACGACTCCAAAAGGAAAACAACCAAATGAGGAAGATGACTCCGCCGAAGGAAGGAATAAAAAGCCATCTGAAGTAGGCAAAGGAAAATCAGAAAACAGTGAAGAAAGCGATTCCAGTGAATACGGAAATGACAGTTCCGGCTACAGAAGGCGTCATCATAAAGGAAGCAAATATTCGAAACACGGATCAAAAGGTGGCAAAGACGAGCCTAATAAAGATGACGAATCTCCGGGTCATCCAAAGAAACAACACCCACACGGAAATAAGCAAAAACACGGTGGACAAACCGGTAAGCCCAAAGAGGATACTGATGAAGAAAAGCCACACCGAGGCAAACACGGTGCAGAAAAAGGTAGCAATGGTAAAAAACCAAATTCACATGGAAAGCAAGGTCACCCTCACGGAGGAGAAGACAATAACTCCAGTGAACAGCCGAACAAACACCCCGGTCACACACGCCGTCCGCATCACCGAGGTCAGCCAAAAGGATCTGAAGACGACACCAAAAGGAAAACAACCAAATGAAGAAGATGATTCCGCCAGAGGAAGAAATAAAAAGCCGTCAGAAGAGGGCAAAGGAAGCAACAAAAAGACCTTAAAGAACACACGGGGAGGAATCGAGGGGAAGACGAAAAAGATGAGACTGGAAATAAAAAAGAGACAAGGAAGAAAGGGTGGGAAAGGAAGACATTCGGTAAAGAAAGGCAAAGGAGAGAAGCCTAACGAAGATAGGAGCTACGAGAATTCAGAAAACAGTGAAGAAAGCGATTCCAGTGAATACGGAAATGATAGTTCCGGCTACAGAAGGCGTCATCATAAAGGAAGCAAATATTCGAAACACGGATCAAAAGGTGGCAAAGACGAGCCTAATAAAGATGACGAATCTCCGGGTCATCCAAAAAAACAACACCCTCACGGAAATAAGCATAAACACGGTGACAAACCGGTAAGCCCGAAAGAGGATACTGATGAAGAAAAGCCACACCGAGGCAAACACGGTGCAGAAAAAGGTAGCAATGGTAAAAAACCAAATTCACATGGAAAGCATGGTCACCCTCACGGAGGAGAAGACAATAACTCCAGTGAACAGCCGAAAAAACACCCCGGTCACACACGCCGTCCGCATCACCGAGGTCAGCCAAAAGGATCTGAAACGACTCCAAAAGGAAAACAACCAAATGAGGAAGATGACTCCGCCGAAGGAAGGAATAAAAAGCCATCTGAAGTAGGCAAAGGAAGCAACAAAGTGCCTGAAGAAGACAAAGGGAGGAATCGAGATGATGACGAAAATGATGAGACTGGAAATAAAAACGAGCAAGGAAGAAAGGGTGGAAAACTAAGACATGCAGTAAAGAAAGGTAAAGGAAAGAAACCTAACGAGGATAGGAGCTACGAGGAATTAGAAAACAGTGAAGAAAGCGATTCCAGTGAAAACGGAAATGACAGTTCAGGCTACAGAAGGCGTCATCATAAAGGTAGCAAGTATTCGAAACACGGATCAAAAGGTGGCGAAGACGAGCCTAATGAAGACGACGAATCTCCCAGTCATCCAAAGAAACAACACCCTCATGGAAATAAGCATAAACACGGTGGACAAACCGGTAAGCCCGAAGAGGATACTGATGAAGAAATGCGAGGAAAAGGACACGGAGGAAAACACGGTTCAAAAGGTGGCAAAGAGGAGCCTAATGAAGACGACGAATCTCCCAGTCATCCAAAGAAAAAACACCCTCACGGAAATAAGCATAAAACACGGTGGACAATCCGGTAAAACACGGAGAAAGACACTGATAAAGAAAAGCCAGGAAAAGGAAAACCACACCGAGGCAAACCGGTAAGCAGAAAAAGGTAGCAATGGTAAAAAACCAAATTCACATGGAAAGCAAGGTCACCCTCACGGAGGAGAAGACAATAACTCCAGTGAACAGCCGAACAAACACCCCGGTCACACACGCCGTCCGCATCACCGAGGTCAGCCAAAAGGATCTGAAACGACTCCAAAAGGAAAACAACCAAATGAGGAAGATGACTCCGCCGAAGGAAGGAATAAAAAGCCATCTGAAGTAGGCAAAGGAAGCAACAAAAAGCCTGAAGAAGACAAAGGGAGGAATCGAGATGATGACGAAAATGATGAGACTGGAAATAAAAAAGAGAAGGGAAGAAAGGGTGGGAAAGGAAGACATCCGGTAAAGAAAGGCAAAGGAAAGAAGCCTAACGAAGATAGGAGCTACGAGAAATCAGAAAACAGTGAAAAAAGCGATTCCAGTGAATACGGGCATGACAGTTCTGGCTACAGAAGGCGTCATCATAAAGGTAGCAAATATTCGAAACACGGATCAAAAGGTGGCGAAGACGAGCCTAATAAAGACGACGAATCTCCCAGTCACCAAAGAAACAACACCCTCATGGAAATAAGCATAAACACGGTGGACAAACCGGTAAGCCCAAAGAGGATACTGATGAAGAAAAGCCACACCGAGGCAAACACGGTGCAGAAAAAGGTAGCAATGGTAAAAAACCAAATTCACATGGAAAGCATGGTCACCCTCAAGACGGTGAAGACAATAACTCCAGTGAACAGCCGAAAAAACACCCCGGTCACACACGCCGTCCGCATCACCGAGGTCAGCCAAAAGGATCTGAAACGACTCCAAAAGGAAAACAACCAAATGAGGAAGATGACTCCGCCGAAGGAAGGAATAAAAAGCCATCTGAAGTAGGCAAAGGAAGCAACAAAGTGCCTGAAGAAGACGAAGGGAGGAATCGAGATGATGACGAAAATGATGAGACTGGAAATAAAAACGAGCAAGGAAGAAAGGGTGGAAAACAAAGACATGCAGTAAAGAAAGGTAAAGGAAAGAAACCTAATGAGGATAGGAGCTACGAGGAATTAGAAAACAGTGAAGAAAGCGATTCCAGTGAAAACGGAAATGACAGTTCAGGCTACAGAAGGCGTCATCATAAAGGTAGCAAGTATTCGAAGCACGGATCAAAAGGTGGCGAAGGCGAGCGTAATGAAGACGACGAATCTCCCAGTCATCCAAAGAAAAAACACCCTCGCGGAAATAAGCATAAACACGGTGGACAATCTTTTAAGAAAGGATTGTATTCAAAATTCGGAAGAGATAACTCTGAAGAAGAGAAGTATTCTGGTGAATTTAAATCGAAAGGAAAGTTAGGTTTGCGTTATACATATGAAGAGAAATACCGTTTCTTGTTGAATCTGGAATACAGTGATGTTCTTTTGTCCAAAAATTTTATAAAATTCTACACAATGTTCGGTTTCTATCCCGATTCCGAAGCCCTGTTTTATTTTACAAAATACTGCCATCGTCACCGTCATAAGCCATTAAACTATGCTCGCAATTTCAAAAAATGTATTCATATCTATAAGAGGTATAAAACTGATGACGTTTTGAAACATTTGTACAGATTATTTGATTTCCACTTATTCACTGACGCCAGTGTTGGGTACCATTACAATTACTCCAGATTTCCGTTCAGGTACTATTCAGAATCATACGAAGATGATGGATCAGACGAAGATTATGGATCATACGAAGATAATGGATCATACGAAGATTATGAAAATGACGACTTTTCTCGCTGACAAATTGCATCTCAAAGAAAACAGTTCCAGACATACCATTTAATATAATATACATCATTGCAATTTTCCAATGTCTGCACTCTTCGGTGAAATTATGGAGCTATAGTTAGAAGAATGTGTAATATCTTATTTACTTCCCTAGTATCGTAAATCTAGTACCCATGCTTGGTTTTCTATTTTTATTTTTGAACATTTTTCTGAAAATTCACTTTTCAAGGTAATGGTTAATGTATTTCTAGAACTGTAATGAGATGTATAAAATGTTACTGTGTAATTCAGTACTGTTAGAGTGGAAAAGCAAATAAAAAATAATGAATTTGATTCCAGTGGTTGTCTTTTTTAAGTAGACATATATTTTCGGATTTTTTTTTTTTTTTTTAGAAATCAAAGCAAGCCTTTCCAAGGGATTTTATATTTCATCAATGAGATCCAAAGTAAATTTGTCTAACGAATTTTCTTTTCAAAACTAATTATTTATGTAATATAAATGCTCAGACATTTCTTGGAATAAGAGTTAGAAAATCAATTAATATTAATAAACTGATGAAAAAAAATATTAATGCAAATTTAAATTTGAAAATCGTCAGAAGCACCAAATGAATGCAAACTAAAAATATTTTTAAAAGTATTCAAACAGACTTAAAACGTAATTGGTATACATTAAAACAATATCAAATTCAGACAATTATGGAGCTCAAAGCTCATCTAACTAATTAATCTAATGGTGAAAATGTTTAGAAAGATTGTACCATCATAGTAAAATATAAATTGCGCCAAAGTGACATGTTGCAAAATAAAATAATTTTTAACAAGTACGTATATTACATTTAAACTGCTGTGCTTTTTATTCCTACTGTTATAACTTGAACAAATATTTAAGGAACTTCTGCCAAAATATTGGCAACAGCAGTTAGAACCGGCGATTTGTCGAATTCTTATGGAAGATTAATAATTTAACGATTGGATACAGTAGCGGGTAAAAGAGGATTTATAAAAAAAAAAAAAAAAAATCTGATGTGTATACCACATGACTTCCTTGTACGGAATATTAAATTATACGCATTTTTTCTTGAATTTCATTTAAATTGATTAGATTGAATTAAATCTACTTCGTTGACAGCGCATAAAACCCCACAAATAGAATAAATGCACTCTTTAAAATTCACTATATTTGTTTACTGTAACGACATTCTGAATGCACAAAATTTATATCATTTGAAGAATTATCGTTGCCACATGTTCTATTCAAATACTATAATAAATATAAAACGATGTATGAAAGAAATCAAGAAAACAAAACAGAAAAGAAACAATTTTTCACAGACGATTTAGTATTTCTCATTCAATTAATTCAGCTCTCACTTCACGACAAGGCAAAAATACATAAAAGTCAAAATATCTGTATTAAAAATTACGAAGTAAATCTTAAACACTTATTTCCTCGAAAAAATTCCAGAAAGAATTAAGCTTGATTTAATTCGCAATAATAAATGAAGGCAAGCAATGGCCGCCATCAAAAAATTATTAGGCTTAGCGGCACTTAAACAACTTTTAAATTGTTGATAATTCTAAAACTATTGCATACAGATTTACTAAAGGCATAAAAACCTTAACCGGAAGATAAAAAAAATATAATTCAATCCTTTTTAGAGCAAAAAATGTACAATTTACAAACATATAATCACTGAGATACTGAGATCACTGAGCCGGGTAATAGAGTGGATATATATATAAATATATTTATATACGTTTGCTGCGGCCGATTGCAACCAAAATACGAGGTGTACATCTACATGTTATAGCAATCCTATATACAAAATTTCAACGTTCTGAGGCTACTCGTTTTTGAGTTATGCGAGATACGTACGCACGTACGTACATACGTTCGTACAGACGCCACGAAAAATTCTCTTCAGAATTAATTTTAAAGCAGTTTTATAATTTTTTTTGGAGGAAAGGTGTCTTTTATTCTGTCCTGACGCACAGATATCACGCAAAAACATCGTTAAATTGCATTCGACAGCAGTAAAAATGGATATTTTCGTTGAAATATGTTGCCTGAAACTTTTCGCGATTACAATACTTCCTTTTTACTTCGTACAAGGAAGTAAAAAGCCTCTTGGTAAACCTAGCGGTAAATTATTTGGGGCCTCTAAGAAAGTATTTATGTACTTTATACGCTTAAAACGCAATTAATGCTGAAAATGTGCAAATAAAACATTATTCATATTTTAATAAAACTGCGATTTAATATTTTTATTTCTAAATATTCTTTATTTTTTCCTTCCGCATAACAAGACCAAAATACATACAAATTTAAATATCAGGAAATTAAATAATCTATTAGAAAGAAAAGTAAAATATCAAGTTCCTAAAATATTTTATGAAGTACTTTAAAACTAAAATAACTGGTTATTAAGTAGAAGGTTTAATAAATTTTTCCGTCACTTCTTTCTAGCAAATTCATCAATGATTTTCGAAGTATAAATGTTATTCAATACTTCCTTATTAAATATTGAACAGAACCATACATTTTAATCTTTCTTCTGATACCGCACTTCTTAAGTAGTTTTGAACCCTTTTAGGCCAGAGAAAGATCGTTCTTGAGATTCATTGGAAGATGGAATAGTCGAAAAGAAATGCTGTATTAAACATTTCTCTGGTTCTGTATTAAAACTTTCTCTGATTACATGATATGTTCTAGTGGCAGAGCTAAAATTATCATCTCGTCTTAAAAAGAATAAAAACTGTTCCTTTTAATCACCAAGGAACATAACATCTATATGATTTTATAAATTTGTTTTTTCTTTTAACTTTTCACACAGACTTTTAATATATAAAAACATTTCACTGTAACGAAATAAGTTCATTCTTTCCAACCATCAACCAATTCGTAAATATTTTTTGTTGCCAAACCAGGAAATAAAACCTTTTCACACATCAGATTAATATGTATCATAACGTCATGATTTAAATTTAATATAACAACTTTTTTCTCAATATCAATAAAGAAACTAACATGGCAAAAACATATGTCAGTTACCGTAACCGGAAATAAACAACAGCAGCTATTTCATTAAAATTCTGAGATTAATGAAATATTTTCAACATTCTATGACGTCATATGCAATCGCTTGCTACCTTCAACGTCAGAATAGGAGCTTGTGTATGTACGGATTACTAAAAGATTGGATGCACACAGATTCGATGATAGGTTAGTCAAGTTTATTTTTATCAAAAGAAACACTTCAAAATTCTGGAAATTTCCACAGGTATTCTCGTACAGGTGTTCACAGTATCACAGGTGACAGGTGACAGCAGGACAGGGCACCCGGACGGCTTTCTATGACTACTCGTGTGTTACCCTGGCCCTGCAACCATCTAGAGACTTCACAGTTGTAAGACGCTTAACAGATGTGTGCTCAATACATGCCACGTTACATCTACAGTATTATATGTGCACTGTCCATTACTGTGCTAATAGCCTTGAACGGCACGTCGGCCTTGTGGATAACTAAAAACAGTTACATTTCCGTACTACGGATACACATACCATTGCTGTACTAGCTACTTTAGTAAGCTTTGAGAATCGTTATGCCAATTATGTTTATTGCATGTGCCCTATTCCGGCCTGTAGAGGTCTATGCCCATTTTTTCTAGCTTGTCCATCATGCTTTTAAGCTTTTGCCACGTGCCTCGATGTTTTATGAGGAGGCGTTTGAAAGGCAGAACATTGGTGGTTGGGAATTTGATGTGCCATTCTGCTGTTAAGGGGCACTCCGTGACATAGTGGTCTGGTGAGCCCAAGTTGTCACAGACACACATGTTAGTTGTTGCTAGGCCCCTTTCTGCAAAGTACGTCGGAAAGGAGCCGTGGCCTGTTATATATCGCTTGAGGTAGGGCGCTGAGATGAGCCGGTCCACCTCTACCTTGGGCAGAAACTCATATGCTCTGCGGCCTTGCGGGATTTGGTCCCATTCTTTCTGCCAGTTTTCAATGGCGGTCTCCTCTATTTGCCTCTTTAGGCATGACCGGGGCATGCAATCAGGAATTACACTTCAAACTACTAACAACGTTAAACGAAACGCAATGAAAAACGCATTTAAAGAGAAAGGCGATATCTCAGTTCACGCTAAATCAAAGACTCGCAACAACAATAATTGAGAGCAGATACTATGATACTAGTCTTTTAGGCTGGTTTGTCAGCCCGAATTTCATCGCGCT